ACAAGTAAAAAATAGGACAGTTTCCCTCTCTTGAAAATTGCACACACACACACACACACACACACACACAATCCCTGTGTTCCCTTTTGTCTGAAAAAAAAAATCTGTAAGCTCTCTTGGTTTTCTGCTCTCAATCTTCCAGCAATCCTCTTCCTCTATGAAGAGCTAGTGGAAGAAATGGTCCACACAGGTCCACCTTCAACATGATTTACACTGGCCTTAATATCACCTTCAGTAGAACTAGGAAAATGTACTTCAAAAATAGTAGGGCTCAAAACACTTGCTCTATCTGGCATTATATCACATGAACTTAATAAATATGAATGTATTTAAGCATCATTGCTAGACATATGATGTTTGGTGGGAGAGAGGGCATTAGTTTTCGTCAGTGAGAATCAATCAGTCCTATTTCCAGTTTTAAATAAAGGACACATCCATGTTATATCAAGACATCAGGTCAAACCTCATATATGAGTTATTACCTGCTAAGTAATAATAAAATAAGGCTTCAGGTCAGCTCTGGGATAGGGCTAGAGAGTAGGAAGAGGCAGAAAATCCAAGATGGTCCTGCCCTACCCCCAGGATATTTTGGTGAAAGCCAAAAGATTGCCATTTTGTGTATATGTACATAGAGCTTGGTTGTTGTTGCTAGAAATGAGTGGGAGGCAGTGTGGAAGAAGACTGGAATGGCAGAGGGATTTATTTATTTTTTTATATTCCCATTTATAAACACAAAGAGAGGAGCTGTCAGCAGCGTACATGCCAATACCCAAATAGCAGCCAAACCTACCTCTTCCCGTCTGGGCAGGCCAGACACAAAAAATGGCATCTCGAAATCTAGGAAAGTCAGCATTCAGATAGAAGGGGACAAGTAAGAGAAAAAAAGCCTAGAAATGCCCATTTACCTCTCATCACTAGTGATTATAAGTTGTGGTCATTACTAAGGCACCAAATGCATTAAGACAGTGACCATTCAAAACTAGCAAACTCAAAAGCAATCCTCAACACAAACTGGCTAGAATGTGCTTTCCTAGTAAATAATAAGAATAAGTGAAAACAGTTTTGTCTTGGGGACAATGTGAAGTCAGACACAAGTGGCACTACTTAGATAGATGGGTTGAAAGGTCCTAAGGGATTACCAGTGTGACATTCCAGGAAGCACAGCCAGGATCCTCAGCTGCATTTTCTGTCTCACATCATACTAAAGAGACAATAGTCCCTCTCTAGGTCACAGGGAAGACTGCATCTAAAAGCTGCATGTTATTCTCTACACTGAGATGGAAAAGCTAAGCCAACAGTTCAACTAACAGCTTAAAAAATGGTTAAAAGTATTATTTTTCCTCTAATCTGAATGCTGGGAATATTGATACTAGCTTGTCCATGAGTTTAATGCATGTAAAGATCTACAGACGATAAAGAATAAATTTGTTTCAAGGATAACTTAATCACTGTGCTGTCACTGTTGTACACTGGTCTATGACAATCTAAGATATTTGTTTTATACATGAGTGACTAGACAGACATCAGTGGATACTGATTATGGCTATAATCAGTATGGCTATGGCTGAGATCTAAGGATCCTAATTCAATGACACTCCGGAAGGAAAGTCTATGACACTCTTGTCTGTAATTAACCACCAAAAAGCTGGAAGTGGAGCTGACTTACACGGTAGAGCACTAGCTAGCGTTGAGCAAAAAGGCTCAGGGACAACGTGCAGGCCCTGAGTTCAAGCCCCAGGACTGGCATCCCAAACAAATAAATAAACAAATAAAAAGAACGAAGAGAGAAAAAGGCTAGTGAAACACACACACACACACACACACACACATTCTAAACAGCCAACACTATCACTAAATAGAGCGTTCCAAGACTTTGGGGACAGTAAACACTGAAACTAAGGTACTTTAGCTACCTTAATGTATGATGATTACACACCAGGCAGCTGCATAATGCTTTACAATTGACAGTGGTGGCTCACATAAACTATGTTGCCTCATCCTCATAAAAACTACCTGGAATGATCAGGACAGGTATTATTATCTTCATTTTATAGATGGGAAAGCTGAGTTTCCAAGTCATCTCCCCTGAGACTGGTTTTGTAGGTCACCTGAGTTCTTCCAGAAAACACTCTCTTACGGGATGATATCAGGAGGCAATAGTCCCACAACCCAATACATATACTGTACTCTAACCTCTTCTGAATTTCTATGACCCAGTTTTACCAGAGATTTTAAGAGAATGACTGAAAATGAAAGAATACAAATTGAAATTTATAGGAGGTCCTGGTTTTAAAGAAATTTGCCATAGAGTTATATACTTTTTAACTCCAAAAGCTAAGAAAGAAGTCACAATAACGAAAAGTCTTACATTGTGAGATTTTAAAAGGCGATGTATGTGATATATCAAAGGCCCTATCTGATTTTCACATTGTTTATAAGCTCACTACATTAGGAGTCACACAATAATTTCAGAAGGTTGTGAATAGCCTTAAGGAGTATGATTTAAAAGTATTTAACAATAACTTGGAACCAAATTTGGAAAAGAATTTTAGCTTTTTAAAACATGCTTATGTGAATTTTTCAAAAAGTTCATCATTTAAAATATCATCTCTAATTCATCTGTAGTCTATGTCATTCAACAATTCTGACTGACAGGATTTGATGACAGTACAATTTCATAAGATTTATGATTAACCAGAACATGGAAATAATTAGAGATTGAACTTTTAAGACTATAGAGTCTACAATCTGACTTTTAAACCTGAGAATAAAAGACACCCATCTCTGAGCATATATGTGTGTGCATATATATAAATGTATAGATATATGTGTGTATATATACATACATATATATATATATATATATACTGAGTGGCAATTTTTATGGACAACCCTGTTTTATACTTATTAGGACTTTACAGCCTACTAATTAAATACAATATAAAGTCACTAAGGAGAAAAGCCAGGCATATTTAGAAAACAAAATGATTTAGAACTAGATGTGCATGAGCACAATTGTTATTTGAGATAACAAAACTCCATGTATCAGAAAGCCCATCAGTACATTGGGATAAAAGAAATATATTCCCTTGTTCTTTAAAGGGTAAGTAATGCCCAAAAAAGAAAAAAAAAAAGTTCCTTTACTATAGAAAATATATCCATCAGCTGTTGAGATACTAATAGCTGCGGCTGCTGAATACATGTAAGTTTAATCATGCAACTGGTACAGTTCAAACTTTCAATTAACAAACTACACGCCTTTTCAAGCGCAGGCTCTTTGTGCCATTACAAACACTGCAAAAATCGATCCCCACTCCCACTTGCTGCATATAATGAGTTACATCAAGCCTGGTTCCAATACTAACGGGTAAGTGTGTCAGAGATGCATGCAGTAATGTTCAATCCAAAGAGAATTAAATGAAAACATTGCGCAGAGAGCTGTGGCACACATCATCTCCACACATAGCCTTTCCTCTGCCTGCTGCCATTTCATCGTCTCTGCGTAAGTGGATGACACAAGCTGCCACCCGAATCTGAGGGCTAATTCCTCTGGAGTTCTGAATGGGGGAGGGGAGAGCGAAAGAAAAGACACTACTGCCCGGGAAAACAACAACAGGGTGAGTTTATTCCCAGGAAATCGAGCAGTCTCCACAAAGTAAGTTCTTTCTGCACACCCGGCGGACTGAGCCAGGCGTGTGGCTGTGGCGTTTCCCGTCTTCTGTCACCTCACGGCCACCCCTGCGCTGCCATCTGCTCAGTCAACCCGCCAGCCAAGCTGAGCCGGGGTGGTTTGGCTGGAAAAGTTATCAGGACCGGGAAGGAAGCAAATTGGTGACCCGGTGCCCGCTCCCCAGCGTTCACCGGGTGAAACTTCAGAACCCCCCCCCCACCCCCGCGCAGGAGAGGCTAGAAAGGCACCAAGGAACAAAACTGGAAGGGACCCCAGGACCAGCCACCCTCCCCTACCCCTCAAGAGGGCTAGTAGGGCTCCCGGAGTTCCTAGAGTGGCTTTACTAAGCGCTCAAACGAAAGGAACACCGCCAGATTGCCTCCTCTCCGTGTTATAAAGGGTTCTCCTGGCGGGCAGTGGTCTTTCTAGCCCCTGGCGGGCCCCAGGAGAGGTGCGGAGCCAGCCCGGTGATGGCTACGTGGGACATGCGGGTCCTCCGCATGCGGGTCTGGCTTTGCGGATTGGGCGCCCCGAGCTCCCGGCCCACGATCGCTCGGCACGGATCCTTACGATGGCATTGCAAAACATCTTAAAAGACTCCGCCAGGAGACGCATGCAACAGTCTCCAAGCAGTCCCGGCCCGTAGAGCTGGGCCAGGAGCGACCCAAAGCTTGGGGTTGGTGGGGAGGAGGGACGACGGGGAAGTCGTCGGACAATAGTCCGACCGCGGAGGTGATTTCCCCCCGGACAAAAAGCACCTGGCAAAGCGCGCCCAGTTCCGTCCCTTCGCGGCTGCACACTCCTGACAAAGGCTTCCTTGGGAATTGTGTGTGTGTGTGTGTGTGTTTAATTTTTGAACACTCGGTGGGGGGGGGGGGCGCAGCCAGCAGCCACAAGCCCGCACCACCAGGCACAGAGTAACCGTCCCCGCACTCCAAACTACTTTTTCCTCCTCTCTTCCTCCCCCGCCCCCCACACCCCTTCTCAGTGGCGCCGGACCCCGAGGCTCCACCAGTGCGCCCAAGGAAAATGTCCCTGCACTTCAGCCCAGAGGTGAAGCCCTGTATCCCGCACGAGACTCCGAGAGAAACAATGGGTCGCCAAGAGGAAAGTTACCTGCGCCAAGTGGCGCCAGCCCAGTGCCCCGCGTCCCACCTGGAGCAAACTCCGAGGACATCTCTTTCTAGACCCCGGCACCCCTCCGCCACCACAGCCTCCCGTTCTCCTGGTTCTGGACCCGCCAGAGGAGCTGGCGGCTGGGGATGGTGGTCCGGGCTCCGCACACCTCTCCACTCTCACACAGGCTACCCGCCCCCCCCAAGCCACTCACCTGCGGAGAACTGGCCTTGGGCTGACCCCAGGAGAGGCCACGGGGAGAGGAGCACCAGCGCCACAAAAGCGGGCAGCGCCGGCGCCGCCGAATCCATGGCGAGTTTGGAAGAAGTTTCAAGCAGCTTTGTAAAGAGCTGGCCCGGGAGGGAGGGGGGGGGGGGGAGAGGCTCTCCGCGAAATCCACGAGCGAGGTGCCAGGAAGACCCCCCCTCCCCGCAGCCGCCGTGGGGTGAGCGTGGGGAGTCTGCGCCCGCTCACCCCGCGCCCGGACGATGGCCTTCTGGGCGGTCGCCAAACTACCTCGGGGGCGAAAGCGTCTCCTGCGTCCCCGGCCCGCCGCGGCGGCAGCTCTCCATGCTCGGCGGTGGCTGCTCCTGTTAGTCAAGAGTTACTTTGCTCGGGGAGGGACGGGGGGGCGGAGCCTGCGGTGACGTCGCCCCGCGGGCTCCGGGCGCTTCGGAGGAATGCGGGCTCCAGCGCGCCCCCGCCGCCGCCGCCTGCCGCCTGCCGCCCGAGAGACGCGCGCCAGCCCCGGCTGCGCGCGCGCCCTCCTGCGCCCCGCGCCCCGCGGCTCCCCGCCGCCGCCTTTGTTCGCCGCCTGGGTCCCCAGCCGCCCGCCCGCCGCTCTGCCCAGGGCGGCGAGCGGGAAAAGGATCGCGACGTGGGGCATCACGCTACCCTGTTGCTGAAACTGGAATGGAAGCAGAATGGCGGGACGATTGAGGTCCAGCACGGAGGACACCCGCCACCCCGAACAGAGGGGAGTCCTGGGGTTGTGCCCCCCAGATGAAGATCCCACCACGGCCACCGCCGGTAGGAAGAAAAGGTGCCGGAAACATCCCCTAAGGAAATAGGCAGCCTGCGTAATACAGAATAAGGCATCCCTCCCCCATAGAAAATTACTGTGCCTTGTTCATGTAATACATAAAACTTGGACCAAAATAAACGTTCGGTAACTTTCCAGCGTGAACAACTGGCGCGTCTCCTTTTCTGGTTTTATTTGTCATTAGTCTAGAGAGTGTTTGACTTTTAACTTTCTGCTTCAATGACTGTTGTCCTGGAACCTCCTGGCCTCTTTCCTTTCCCCCAGGCTTGGTGGAGTAGACTATATCATATATATATATATATATATATATATATATATATATATATAATTTTTATTTTAATATATTGGGCCCACTTAAAATAGAAATACTTAAAAGGCAATGAAAGCAACAATGTGTAATCGGCCAGAAGGAACATAAAGCCATCTTATGATAGTGCAGTATTTTATAGTTTGCTACTTGTGCAGCAGTAAAAAGTAGTTTCACCATATGCCACCCTGACTTGCTCCTGTTGTAAGCACTGTACCCTGTATACTTGGTTCGTTTTTTGTAAAATAGCACAAAAATGTGTGCTATCACATCGTATAAGCATAACCCATTCTGAAGTATGGCATCTTTACAATTCCTAGCAATAATTTGTTGATTGATGCCTGACATCAGACACTTCTATCCCTTTAAAATCAAGAGAATGGGATATTCAATTTAATATAACATTCATGTAACTTACCAAACCACACATTTCTTTAATCACATGTATACTTTGTTTTGATCAGGCTTAGTGCACAACCTGCAACTCACCATATATATGTATGGAAAGACATTTTTAATTGATAAGAATAGAAGTTTAAACAGAAATTTTAATCTTGCACATTAGAATAATTATTAGCCCAACTCTTGTCAATTCAGTTTAGCATAGTAAAATTCATCCTTCTTAGAGTACAAAATTGATGTTTTTCAAACTCATTAACCTGTAATCTGAGGACATCCTACCACCATTCCAGTTTCTTAAATTGAGAAATGTTCCTAAATCACAAGTAATCAAAAGCTGAAAAATATGTTTATGTTTATATTTATATTTATTTAAGGACTTAATAGAACTTTCCAGAACTTAGCAGTTATTCACAGAAATAAAATAATGAAAACTCTAAACTAGGCATGATGCCATATGCCTATAATTCCAGATTTGGGAGTCTGAGAGAAATGGATTACAAATTCCATACCAGGTTAGACTATATGTGCAACCATATCATGGAGTAAAAGAACACACACATACACATATATATTTATATGTATACATTAGTATACATATATTTTGTATTTACTAATCTGCTCTATTGTACGAAAGATGAAATATAAAATTGTAAAAATAAAATACAAGTAATATATTATACAATACATTATAAATATAAAATTTCTCTAAAGACTGACCTATGTAGTGTCACAGTTCTGACTTTGCCCTTGTTCCTTGGAAGGAAGATTGCATTTCACTCACTCCTGTCATGGAGTAGTGACAGCAGCAAGTATGTTTACAACCTTTTCCGGATGTGCTACTACTAAGATACCTATTATCATATTGCATCCTTAAGATTATTCCATGTTTCCTTGAGTTTAGGCAAAAATCACATGATGAAAAATTATTCTCACTTCAAAAATAAGGAAACAAGGTTAGAGATTAATTCACCTAAATAAATAAGAAATGGGGAAGGGGAAATGAGGAGAAAGGAAATTTCCAAAGGGAATCACCAAACCAGCAAAGATGCCTTCTCACTAAAATCAAAGAAATGCAATAAATCTTTTGGATGAGTACAGCAGCCCTTTTGTCCTCAGGGCCCACAACTAATGCAGGCTTATATAATTTGAAATCATTTCAGTAGAGTTTACGTGGTTCTTCTATACTTGTAGCTAATTCTTGGCAAACATTAAAAACACTGAGTTCTGTTTTGTTCTGTTTTGTCTGGCAGGATCTAGATAGGCCACACTGATCTCAAACTTGCAATTGTCCTGCATTGAAACTTTTAGAATTACAGAGGTCTCCCACTATGCCCAACCTATATCCATCAACTGACAGATTAAGTATAAATTTTCTATAACTTTTAGAAGAGATTTGGCAACTTTGTTAAAAAGTGATACAACATTCCTTTTTTTAAAAATATTTTTTTTCCGGTCATGGGGCTTGAACTCAGGGCTGGGGCACTGTCTCTGAACTTCTTTGGCTCAAGGCTAGTGCTCTACCATTTGAGCCACAGTGCCACTTCAGGATTTTTTCTCTTTATGTGGTACTGAGGAATCAAACCCTGGGCTTCATGCATGCTAGGCAAACACTCTACCACTGAGCCATATTCCCAGCCTAGCATTCCTATTTTTTAATCTAGTAGCTATTCTAATAAAAATAATCCAAAATACCAAAGTGTTATATAGTCCAAGAAGCTTACAAAAGAGGAAAGTGTAAATATTGCAAATGTCCAAAAACAGGCCAATTATGAGCTGAAGGAATCTAATGATCATTAAAAGTGAATACTGTGAAAGAAATAAATTGAAAATTAGAAAAATAAAGTTTATGATAAAATATTGAATAAAGAAATCAGATAGTACAAGGTTTCCATCAAAGAAGATAAAATGTGAATATATTTAATGCCACACTATACACTCAGAGTGCTAGTGTGATCAAATTTATGGTGTGTGTGTGTATGTGTGTGTGTGTGTGTGTACATTAAAGATCAGTTGGCAACCTACTTGGGAGGCAGAGATGGGGGGATCAAGGTTTGAGGCCAACCTAGACAAATAAGCAATCGAGATTTCATCTCAACCTAAGGCTGGGCAGGGTAGCGTGAGCCTTGTTATCTCAGCTACAGAGAAAGCACAATGGGTAAGCCTATCTCTAGCAAAACAGGGAAGCATAATAAGTAGTATAGTAGCTAAGGCCTACAGGGCAGAAAAGTTTATATGAAATGAGATCTTACCCCAAAAATCACAGTGAAAAAAGAGACTACAGGCATGACATTAGTGGTAGAGTGCCTACTTACCAAGCATGAACTCCACAAAAGATCAGATGACAAATATCTGCATGTTCTTTGATCTTGAAAAATAAGAAAAGAAGAGGAGGAGGAGGAGGAGGCAGAAGATGACAACTATGACAACTTAGGTGTGGGAAAGCAGGTAGTCAGTGGGAGAATGCTAGCCTAGCATGCCCAATGATCTGGTTCCACAACACTGCAAAGTAAGTAAATAACCAGCTCATAATATTAAATTTATTACCAGTAAATATGTAATAATAAAACATAATTTGCCCCTTCTTCCTTTTCTTATTATTTTGGGTGCATGTGCATAATAAATCTTTTTGCTGAATACAGATTTAATTAGTCTTTTGCAGCTTCACTGTATACTGATTCCAAATCACTAACTTAGACCTACATCAGGTAAAATGATTTCCCTAAAACCCCATTTCTATCTGATGCTCCTGTGTCATTGGAAAAAATATCACAGTTAAACTGGGTTTGTAGTACGCTGGACTGGGCAAAATTTAGACAGGTTTCTTTTCTTATAAGATCTTTTCCATAACTGCCCAATATGGTATGGTGCCCGGGACAGTGAAAAATGCAGTATTTCTCTACTTGAGACTAGGGACCAATTTAATAGAAGAATGTGTTAGTAATATTTTCATCACTGAAAGAATGGCTAAGATATTCAATACGGGAGAATTCAACATTCAATATGGGATTATTCTGGCTCATGGTCTCAGTCTGTGGTCACTTGGCCCTATTGCTTTGACCTATGAGGAGAAGGCGAGAGGGGAAGCAAAGCCTTAACTAAGGAAGCTGCTCTCTCCGTGGTAGTAAGGATACAAAGACAGTGAGAAGAAGACCATGGGATAAAGATAACCCCTTTGAGGTCACTCCACCTTTGACTCCTTCCTACTAGTGTCACATCTTAAGTAGTCCACTCTTCCCCTTGGTAGTAAGCCTTAAGAAAAGCAGCTCTTTTTTTGGGGGGGAGGGGGCGGGGAGGTTGTAGTTAAGATCCAAACAATAGCTAGATGATCTCTGAGAGGTAGGATGCAGAAAAAAGAATTTGGAAAGAACCACTTTAAGTTGTATTTAGTATCTCTGTATCTTGGTTTCATATGAAAAATGAGATTCCTAAATAATTTGATAAAATGTATTTTTTAGAACAGTTGATTTATAAGTATGAAAAGGCCTGGATGATAATAACTGCTTAATAAATGCTCCCCACCTCCGCCCCCGCTTTGCTCACTGAACAAAATCTGTAGCCAACAGAAACAAGGTCTTATTCACCCAGTGACAAAGCAAGAGTGTA